CCTGATGTGGTTGGGATGAGAGTCACCCACAAACTGAAGTCGGGGAAAGGTCCTCACCGGAGCTGGGCACAGGCACAGGGTGGGAGCAGTCTCTCCGCCAGGGAGAAGGGCAGGTCCCCCGGTGGACAAGGCCGCCTTGATCTCGGGGGTGCTGAGATACAGCCACTGGCCTTAGTTTCTCGGCCTGGGGTGGAGTGAGGGAGGCAAGAGACTGTCTTGGGACAGGCCTGGCCTCCCTTCCCTTATGTGGCTCCTCAAGGTCTGAAGCCGTCGGCGTGTGGGAGCCTCACTGCACTGAGAGGGCTTGGGTCCTGGTAAGAAAGGCGGGGCCTGGTCCTAGGCCAGGCTCGCTATGTACTGGCTTCCAAACTTTGGGCTCATTTATTAACCTCTTTGGATCTTCAGTTTCCACATTTGTGAAATTGTTAGATAATTGTAATTATATCTGTCTCTCATAGATGAAAATGCTCTGTGAATCTGAAAGAGCTAGATAAGTTGGGGGTGTTGATGACTGGGGTATTGTTTTGGGATTAGAGATCTAGTTCTGAAAAAGCACCCGGTGTTCTGCCAGCGTGGCCTGCTAACTTGTCTGGTGAGCTCCAGGTTCCCCGCCTGTAGCTCTGTCCTCTTTTCTTCTCTCTAGGCTCCTCCTCCCCTCCGAAATCCTGAGCAGATTGTTTACCCAGAGAGCTCTCACACAGGGAGCGCTCACAGGAGGTGCAAGGACATGGGAGCTGAAAAATATGGGCCTTGCTTCTCATCCCCCTGAGAGTGACCAGGGGGCGAGCTGCCCACGTGCGGACACCATACAGGAAGCTTCTGACCTCACGATTCATGGGTCACCTTTTGAGGTAATTTCTCCATTACTGGATTGGGTTGCATGAATCAAACTGGTGCTGTGTATTCTGTTGCCTGGGATGCTACGGGATGGTTTAGGGGAGCACAGAATGGACTCAGGTGACTCGCTCGAGGCCACCCAGTGGGATGGGACAGTGGCTGTGAGGTTGGGGATTTTTTTCTAGAGTCTGTTGTTAAGAGTCCAGACCCTACCCTTGATTTGATGTGTAAGTTTTTGCAGGTCACGTTGTCCGTCATGGTCTCAAGTTTCACATCCATATAGTGGGTTTAACAGGCAGTTCCCCGACTACCTTAAGTGCATGGTCACGGGGCTAGTCCTGGGGGTCCAGCCTTGGAGTCTGGGCAGCTGGGAGGAAGCCTCAGTGGGGAGGAGAAGGGGGCACTGCCCAGAAGTGAGGTAGATGGTGCTACTCCCACAGGGTGTGGGCCAAGAGTTCTCAGGTGCTGGGGGGTACTGAGTCTGGGGAGAGGCGGCCAGAGCCTGAGTGAGCCTCAGGGGGTGGGGTGAGTCTGACAGCTGAGGCCGTGCCCGGAGACCTGTGTGGATGTCTGTTGCGGCCCCTCTGTGACAGCAGGAGCAGGGCTGGCAGAGGCTTGAAGGGAAATGCTGGGTGGGCTGCAGACCGGGGCTTAGTTTGTGTGTATGGGGAGGACTACTGACGGGTGTGGCCGCCGGGAAAGCTGTGCGGGTACAAGCCATGGGAAGTGTCTGTATTTGCATAGGAGACGCAGGGAGCTGACTCCTCCCCCCCGAGCTCTGTTCTTTTGCTCACAGCTTCTGGTTTAGGCAACTGACAGCTGAGTTTGTGGAAAATCAAAATCTGACTCATTATTTAGTATAAAGACAGAGGAGGAGACAGGCCCTGATGCAGGGGAGGCCTAGCTCCCCCGGGCTGAAATGGTGTGACTTCTGAGCAGAGCCCAAGGCTGGCACTGATGGGCAGGGCTGCAGGGGGCAGAGCTGGCGCCCAGGGAAGCAGGTAAGGGGATTCCAGTGAGTGCTAGTGTGGGGAGTGTGAGACGTCACCCTCTCCAGCACAGGGCCAGGCATATCCCGGGGTGAGGTGGTTTATACATTGATTCTGCATTTGTTTCTTGAGGGCCTGCGGCAGGAGCTGGGGATAACATGAAGAGTCTGAGTGGGTGGCTGTAGGCTGGTGGGCTGTTGACACAGACCTAGCACGCTAGCTCCGCCCTGGGGGTGGGAAGAGCCTGAGTGCTCCGAGTAAACTTGTCCTCCTCTTCGTCCCTGCCTCCTGGATGTTTCCTCCGCAGCTGAGCAGACTGACGGGCGGCACTGATGGAGCCCTGCTCAGAAGACGTGCTTCTCCGCAGGGCCTCCTGGCTCCTGGGGCTCGCCAGCCTCCTCCTCAGTGAGTGGCCGGGGCTCCGGGAGGGAGGGCTTTAGGGTGGAACAGGGAGGCAGGATCTCCTTTCCGTGTCTGGTGTCTTTCACGAACAAAAAGACAAAACAGCTCTGTTATAATTTGGCAAATGTAGTGTGTTTGGTTTACAGCCCCGGGATGAACTATAGAACAAAATGGCCTTTTGCTTGTGGCGAGGCCGGGACCTCTGAGCTACCACTGCCTGGGCTGCACTTAGGGAACCATTTCCAGGGAGATGAGGCCGCTTCTGCTGCAAGAACAGGGAAGCCAGGAGCTGCCAGGAGCTGCCTGCCTGGAGCTGCCTGGGGAGAGGGGTGGCGACAGAGAAGCCGGCTCCTGGGGACAGAGGGGTGGGATGAGAGTTTCCCTGCTCTGGACTCAGAGGGGACCTAACAGCCTCTGCAGCTTCCTGTGGAGTTGGGGGCCAACTAGAACCCCGGGTCTGAGCTAGAGGAAGCAATTCTAATGTGAGTTTCTTGAGCAATATTCAGAAGGCTGAATACAATGAAATTCTTCTTTCATAAAAGGAACAGCAGCCTCTAACATTTTCGGGTGTCTGTAAACCCACATGTTGTAAGAATATGGAGAAACCGAGAAAGGAATAGTAGACTGTTAGTGTGGGCAGGCAGCGGGAAGTAGGGACAATCAGAAGTTAAAAAAAGGGAACTGAAGAAAAGACTATCTTGAAAAGCAGACATGTTTATGACTTTATCAGAGGTTATATGTTTACAACAAAGTAAGTAAAAACCAGTGAGGAAATAATAAGGCCTAGTGAATCATGAACTCTGAAGGAAGCTTGGAAAGCTTTTAATGTTTTAATTTTTTTATTTTATTATCCCAGCCACTATATGAACGTGCAGGAGTTCTATGAAATTTAATGGACTAGAGGGCACCTGTAAACAGATTTTTTGAAATAACAATGAGCTTTGCAGAACATTACCCTCTATAACTAGGTAACTTTTTGTCAACAGTAAAGTGCAGGCTTTCTCTTTTCTTCATTTTATTTAACTGAAAAATATGTGGTATTATTTAGAGTTTTCTCCTCAACCTCTGGTGTTGGAAGAATACATAGGGCAAAGAGAGAGAGCGAGAGACAGAATGAGAGGGAGAGAGAGAAATAGAATTTTAAGTTGGTTTATGAGCATGCACTTCCCCTTTCCCAGGAGAGGAAGTTGGAGGATAAGCACCAGGACCTGGGCGGGACGGAGGGGACAGCTCCTGCAGGGGAGGAGCGCTGGCTGGGAGACAGGAGACCCGGAAGTCAGGTCTGGCTCTGCACTGTGTGACCAGGACAAGCTCACCTCCCAGGGAGCTGCCTCCTCTGGGACAGGAGGGGCCTGGGCTGTCCCCCTCTAAGTCCTCTCCCAGCTGGGACGTCCTGGGATTCGGTGCCTCCACCCAGACGAGACTTTCCTGTGGGTGCTTCAAGGCCTCTGCTCTGTCTCTTCATCCTGTCCTGTCCTCTTTCTGTGTCCTGACAGGGACTGGCATGTGATGAGTCCGTGTAGGGCAACTTCAAAGAGCAGATTCTCGTCATCCCTGTGGTCACTTCTCAGCCCTCCAAGAAGGGAGGGAGTGCTCTTCTTCAAGCCTCTTCTTTGGAACCCGGCCCGGCCCTCTGTTTTCTCTGCATCTGCTCCTGTAGACCTCCTAGTGAAATGAAGGACACCACCTATCTTCCCACAGCCTGTGGAAACCTTCTTTGCAAGCCACGCGCAGGAAAGCATGTTAAGGCGGCGTTAAGCCTACTATGAGGACCCCAGTCCTGACTGGGGTGAAGGCCCGACCCAGCAGAGGGGATGCTTGATTAAGTGAGTTAGTGACTAAATGAGTACAAGGAAATACCAGAAATACTTGCACATGTGAATACTGGCCTGAGCTAGTCTCTGCTTCCGGCGAGAGCCAGGAGTGGGCAGGAGGACAGCAGGAGGGAGGCGGGCTCGATATGGGGAGAATTTACTGATTTGGAGAATACACTGATTTGGCCCCTGGAAGGCAGCAGCCAACCCGGGCAGGTCCTGACCTGATGAGAGAAGCAGATTGCTGTTCCCTTCAGGATAAGTCATTCTGTGGCCCTTTCCCTTGTTCTGTTCTGACCTACTCTGGCTCCCAGGAAGGACAGGTCAGAGGGTATCAGGTCCCCTGCAGCCTGTGTCTGAAGAGGGAGGACAGGCTTAGGAGGAGGCAGCCCTGAAGGTTGTACCCATGGTCACGCTCTGCATGAGAGTGACTGAGGACCGCCCACTGTGGCCGCTTGGGGACTGGATGGGGAAGAGCTGTCTTGGTGGCAGGGACAGCAGAGCTCACTACAGGATTGCGTGCTCCACATACTCTAGTCCCTGGCAGCTAGCTAGGGCCTTGTGATCATGCTGGCCAAACAACATGAGCAGAGATCACACTACTTCTGGGTGGATGTGGTGAAACCCCATGTGTGATTCTCTTGTTTTCCTTCCTCGCTGTGGGGCTGGGAGCCTGTGAAGACGCTGTGGGTTCCATGGGTGCAGCTACCAGATGGTGGAGCCTTCACTGTGTGTGACAGGATCCCCTCCTCACTCTCTCATGGGACTTGTGGTGAGGGATGTAAACTCCCCTGTTCTAAGACCCTGAGGTATTGCTACTCTTTGTTACACAGCAGAGTCTAGCCTGTCCCGACTACTACACTGCCTAGATGGAGCAGGGGAAGGGAGCAGCTTTTATATTTGGATGAGGTGTCTATTGTTGTGTAACCTATCACCCCAAAACTAAATGCCTTAAACACCACCAAGTACAGGCTCACACTTTCTGTGGGTCAGGGCCCAGGGCCCAGGGCCCAGGGGTGCTTCAGCTGGGTCCTCTGGCTCAGGGTCTCTCAGACTGAAATCAAGG